AGAGAAGGATATAGGTGGTAAAGAAGACAGATAGCAGTGTAATTCAATAACATTATGAAAGCCAATTCTCTCTCACACCATCTAAAAGACTACGAGGCACACTAAATCTTGCATCCTCCCATACAGTTCACTAAACTTTCCTGACAAAAGCTGATTTAACTGTTTCCTATCTACAGGAGGGGGAATCAATTGTTCTTCAATTTCATTTACACTATGTGGTGCATTTTTTTTTTGAGGGATGGCTGTAGGAAAATTTTTGTGAACTTTTTCATTTTTTCATTTAATTTTGGATTATAAATACAAACTATGTGCATTTGAGAAGAGACGGGAACAAATAAGTAAACTGAGAAATTGCTAAGATGTACTTACACTGATTAATTATTTCAATTGAGGATTATGTTATCTATAAGTTGAATCTCTTTTTACAAAATCAGTTTTACAAACAAATAATACTATCCTCAAGATAGTGGAGAGCTGTATAGAACTTTTGAAGAACACTTCCAGAAGGCTTTACTTGCATTAAAATAATTCAAAAGTTACATAATTAACTTAAAATATACACAAATTTAACCCTTTAGCCCTGAGATCCAGAATTTATTGCTGTTTTAAGAGAACTTAAATTGCATGGTAAGCCTTATAAAAGACTGGCTTTAAGAAACCTACAGATGAACAAGTGCAGAGTCATTTCCAAAGAAGGGTTGCATGTTTGGAACCGTAAGACTGCCAATTTCATTCTGATCAACTGACCTGCCAACAAAAATACACATGAACATTAAGGTAACTTAAAAAAATCAATGAGAAGAAGACATTTAAACTTTTAGTATTCCAAACAAATAATACTCACAGGTACAGCAGTGAGCGGCAGTTTATGAAGGAAGCTGAAGGAAACTTTTTCAACCTGTTCTTGCTTAACGCACTGTCATGAGTGCAATATAAATACAAATTAATCATCAATTGCTTGCAAATATGATATAACATGTGGTTAGATTTATTTTCATACATATTATATGCTGTAAAATGCCATTAAACATGAAGCATTATCAACTATGAGAATCATCATAGCTAAGTATAGCTGGTAGATAACCAAATGCAATGAATTGTAAATTGCAGGATGACAAACAAACATCACCCAGCCTTTAAAAATTTATTGGAAGATGGTTCTTAGACATTGGTACGTCTTGTGAAATGAAAGCAATTATTTTACTAATAGATATACTTACAGGTATTCAAGGTTTGGCAAATTGAACCATTCATTGGGAATCCAGTCTATCTCATTGTCAATCATAATACTGAAAAGAAAAACAAAAGATAAACCAATGAAAGTGAACTTGATTATAACTCACAGTTTTATTCAAGAAAAAATTGCAGCCCCATCTAAGATGAGTCCGAAACAAAGTTTGAAAAGCGAGCAGGTAGCTTCTACCTTCAGGTTGCAACCTCTGTATGTCACATGTAACCATGACTATGCCTTATTTATCATCCTGGTATCTTTGTTCTTCCAACTTCTGTCACTAATCATGAATCCTTGTTAACCCTACCAGTACTTACATTCTCTTCAAGGCCTTTGGCAGACTGGTGAAGTTGTGGCTGAACAACTGAATTTTATTTGCATACAAATCACTATTAAAGGAGTAGAAACAAAAGGATAGTAAAAGAAACATTACATTCTCTTGTTTTGGTTAAAGATAAGAAAATGTTCTGCTATACATACAAAAGAAAAAGAGAAGCACTTGAAAGGAATAGAACCACATAAAATGTCAAAAGTTCTCTAAGCCATTGATCTCCATAAATACTGGCGGTTTTAACCACAAGTATAGATCAATTCAAGAATGAAAACAAACATATCCACAAGTATTCTAAGCTATCATTGTTTACCATGAGAACAGAAACTGACAATCACGATTATAACAAAATTTGACTGGCCTTTTTTTTCAGTCATCAGAAGGAGGCTGTTGTCAAGTGCTTAATGCAGATGATGACACTCTAAAAGTGACTTACAGATCTTCCAGGAGAGAATTCTTGGATATATCTGGAAAGTCAGTTAGTCCATTCTGTGCCAAATTCCTGAGGAGCAATTAAATAGTCATGTACATGTGCTGATGAGAGTCCTAGCTGAAAGAATTCTAAGTTGCACACATTGGTGATCTGGGGGTTTCTCACATTCTTTTTTTTTTTCTACTTTTAAGGTCCAAGTCAGTCAGTGAGTAAATTTTGTTGATTAGTTTGTTTTATTGTTAATATTAATCATTTTTTCTCTGGGGAGGGGGTGGTGTGGGGAGGTGGGGTTGAGAAATAGGTGCATTTGTTCATTCCTGCTGTTGTCTATCTGGGATCAATATCAATATCTGGGCAACTGCCCACCAACCCCTCCCCTAACTCAACAACAGTCAATTGACAACAAGTTAAGGCTAATGTTGGGTTAGGGAAGGGGTAGGTGGGCAGTTGCCTAGATACTGGTATTGATCCTCTATCTGATTATTTGTGTATTGAATAATGAACAATGTTGTTAAGATTGCTCAAATTACCAACTGAAGATAACATACCACTCTCTTGTCATAGATTAGTCCTTGAACAATTCTAATGTTCAACTCTGCTAATACCAGTGATTCTGAGAAATGTGGTTTTAGTGTGTTTTATCAATAAAGTCAGTTTAATAACTACCTAATGATATGCTGATAAGATATCTTGCCCAGAAACTTAAAGCACCAACTTTTTTTTAAAATGGGTGCAACTAAATTGAAAAGAATCCATGAAAATTGTGGTTACTTACAGTTCTTTTAGGCCTGTCAGATTGTGGAAAGCCTTGGCATTTACATACTCTAAGCCAGATTTGAAAATTTTACTGCAAAGAGTAGAAACACACTTTTTAATGAAGACAGGTTAAATTTACCCTTCACAATGTCTATTTTATTTGACCATCACTCTCCATGTGGTGGATTCTTTCTCCATCTTCACATTGGCCACATCAATTTTTATGACTCAGTTATTTTAAGATATTGTCCCTTTAAAAATTGATGCCCATAATTCAATATACAAAGGAAACATAATATTTAAACATTTCTCTGCCCACAAAAAATTTGAGTCAATTTACAATAATCAGAGTTCTCTCATATTTTGGCCACCTCTTACCATGTACAAAATTTTTCCTGACTAAAGAGTCTCATCTAACTCTATATAGTAGCACACTTACATTTCTGTAATTCCAACATTAAGATCCTCTGGATTTAAATTTTGTACTGCCCTATTCCTGATGTTCCTGATGACAAAAAGGTACAAAACATGATGTAATCACTTTAAAACAAAACTCAGAACCTATCAATCAACAGGTATTAGAACCTATCAATCATTTGGTGAATATTAATTTATAGATATTACATGTACCTTGATATAATTAATAAGCTTAGGATGATTGGACTGATTGTGGTGTAATTTGCTCTGAAATCACATAATTATGTGATTTTAAAATCAAACATTTGTACAATCCACTATGATAATATTGTAAGTTGTTAACAACCAGTGGCTTACTACCAAAATAAGCACTCCATAACCTTTTCAAAAACCAGGGATATGCATTTCTCAGATATAAATTAATGCACAGCAGAAAATATATCACTGCAGAAAATATGCCTTATGCAGACAGAGAGCTCACTTAGGTGCTGGCCAATGGCTCCAAAGCTAAGAAATCAAGCCTTTGCTATGCTTAGTATGATATAAAATGTGACAGTTCAGTTTGAATAACAAAGTAACTGATGGATAAAGCAGCATATTAAGAAGAGATGTTACTGATTCTCATGAAGGGCCAGATGTCACCACTAGAGAGGCTGATTACCAGATGCATCTAACTTAAAATTCTCAGTGAGAAACTTGATTGTATCACTTTTTGTTATGAATTTTTCAAAGGTTTCTGGAGTTAGATACCCACTGATTTTTGAGAAAAGAGCCCTTCTAAGCTCTCACTCACATCAGAGGCATTAGTTTAATTTATGAAGGGGCTTAATATTATCAGATGAGCAAGCCCCTCTGACAAAAGTCTTTCCACCTAAAGTTCTTGTAAGGCACACAGATCTCTGCTCCATCAACAAAAGCAAATTTTATTCCTGGTTGTGAAAACAGAACCCAGTCCCCGACCCAGGTCAATGATGACACCAGGGTTTAACAGGGGCACAAACAGATAGACAGCCACAGTCAGGCAATTTATCAGTCAGTTGATATGTCCACTGATAGTTTTTCAATTTGGGGGCTAAAAGTAAATTGATAGTAGGTTGATCATTGTAGAAAATTGCCTCTTGTCAGATAGACATTAAGTATCTTGATGCCCTCATATCCTGACAGTTGATACCTAAAGTGATACAACTGTTATCAATCTGCTATTTGATAAATATCTAGTTGCCTGCTATAGATCGACCAAATACTTTTCAAACATTGGTCAAGTGTTAATCTCCTATGGACTACATGCAACCATCAGCTAAATACCAGTATTAGCTAATGTAGCCCACACAAAGTTCATTATCCAAAAAACTTCAGTCTTTCATTGATTTGTGGTCACCATGACCTGTCACCACAGACCAAATCATCATTATTATAAGAGTTAGAGCCACTCCAACAAGCTCTCGTAAAATTCAAGCATGAGCAGGAACCCTTTCTACCCTTAAAGGACTGCGACAGCAATGCCCATGAACACTAAATTGCAGTTTCACTGGGAGCCTGTTACAACAAAATCTCAGGAACCCTGTGAACTCTGACTGGGAGGCAAGCCAAAGAACACTGTACATCCTCACTCAGTAAGCTAGAAGTTTTTGGGGGGAATTTGGTTAATATTTCTGAATGCTGGGTATGACCATGTCTGAATGTCAGAAATATTTACCCCATTCCTCCCAAAACCTAATGAGAGACATTCAATGTTTGTCTAGAAATGCCAAGTGATCCAACGATTACAATCGTTTTTAATCCTCTGACCCCTAAAGGGAAAGACTAGCAAGTAATTTATCTGCACAATTTCACCCTTTATTACACCCATTTTGAAATCACTGGTGGTCCCTGTAATCTGATTGGCTCTAATCGGTGCAATTTATTCACAAATTGCACCATTTTTTGCTTTATGAGGAGGCTACACTAAAAACAAAACAACCAATCAGACTTCAAGGCTTGTTTAAAGTAACCGATCAAATTGCAGGAAGATGAAAGATATGAAGTGTCATGTGGCAAATTTTACAACTTTTGTTTCCAAAACTCTTATTTTTTTCCTCCCAAAAAATGGATGAATTTAATTTGAAACTGGCTCAGTATTGTAGTAACAAAATATTTGAAGTCCTGTATTTGGGCGATTTCAAAATGGATGTAATAAAGCGGTAATTGAACTTTGTGTTGTGCAATTTTGGTCTGAAATTATACTTGTGATTTCAAATTGAACTCGCGCTGCGCTCTCGTTCAATTTTGAAATCACGCGTATGATTTCAGCCCAAATTGCACTCCACTCATTCCAATTACCATTATAAATCCTCATTACGATCAAGGAAATAAAGGGAATGATCACCAACCAAAGTAAATTTTGATTATTAAACATATTAACTTTTTCAGCACCTTAGGTAATATAAGTAGACAGTATAGAGAATATGTTTACTAATGCTAGAGTATAGGTCTATGTTTAACAGGACGAATGTTCCGAGCTTGTGCATTACATAAACTTGATATGTTGGAAAAGTTATATAAGTAATACCTTGCGATCTAAAGATGATTACACAAGTACGGGAAATTCGTCCACTAAAAACCAAAACAGTTTTTGGAATTTTTTGACAATTCTTATTAGACATCAGATACTCTTAAGAACTTAAAAAAAAACTCTCAGAACCGAACATTTAGTCACAGCGTTTCAAATCTTTACAGATTCAGATCAAGAGATCGTTTGGCATAAGTTGTAAAATTTTTCTCGCCCCAGATATCAATTGAACACCACCCACCTCTTCTAATTCTCTTCAAAGACAAATGTAGTAATTCTGAAACATCTAAAAAAAACATTTTGTCGAAATCGTGCGAATAAATAAAACATTTCTCCCTCTTGTTTGTGTTGCTCTTTTCAATCGGATCGAAGTTTTTTACATAGCGCTGATAAAAATCCGTTGAAGAGGCAATAAAAGAACTTCAAACAAAACAATGCAGGTATTAAACTCAATAAAGATAAAAAAACAAGAAAGAGTAATATCAAACTTGAAACAAGATACTTACACGCTCGGGCCAGTACAAGTGGCTGTACGTTCTTGGTTGTTGCAGGAACAACCTCCGCAAGATTGTCCGCTCGTCTCGGAGTTTTGACGATTATACATAGTTCTCCCGCTGTTGCCATTGTTCCAGAAACCATTCCAATCCGTATAGCCCATGGAATAGCGATTATTCCAGTATTCATAGCCAAGAAAGGTCTGACTGCCGTGGTTCGGTACGGTTCGAGCTTCTTTCGCGAGAAACAAAAGTAAACAGTAAACAAACTCAGCTCGCCAAATTTTTGCGCAGTGATAGCGAGCCATTTACAGACCATCCAAGAGATATCAGCTGTGATCTTAATGACTTGATGGATTGCAATGAGACTCAATTTAGAAATTTTTTAGTAGCAGGATTCTTTCGTTGCCAAAGTCAACCAGAATACGTCGTCACGTCAACGACATTTCAATCGACACGACTCTCGAACTTTTTTTTTTCTAATTTCCCGCCAATGACAGCAGACCGAAGGTCATTCAATGGTTTCAGATTGCAATATTCGTCGTTTCGGGTGTTCAAAACAGAAATCGAACGTTTCTACAAGAACTGTGACACTCGAAGTTACAATTCTTCAATAATCCAGTTAACATTTATAAATATTCAACAAAAATATGCTAATTTCACGGAAACCTATTGTATTTTAGGTTCGACTCTTCGTTATATGAAGTAGTAATTACAATTCAGCGCAACGCACGATGGTATATATTGTAATGGCGGTGGGGTAATTTCGGAAGTGACCTCTGCAGAAAGTACATCGTAAATTATTCATTTTTCGTCCGTTTTCTCTAAATTTCGGATGCTTTCTTGTATAACCTGAACAGGATGTATTCATGTTGATGTTTAGTTGAATTTAACCTCCTGTGGTTAAGAGCCATGTAGCATCGGAGACAGGATCAATTCGTTAATCTGGTCTTTTCTCTGAGGAGACACAATCAACATTTTAGAAAGTGATCTTGAGGGACATTTTTCGTAGGAGCCGTAAGATCTACAGTGAACTTCTGGTTCAAGTAACAGAGGTGTTGAATTAACTAGCAGGAGTTTCTGAAAGGAAATCCTTGGACTGAGCGGAATTCGAACAAGTGTACGCTGCTTTCGAAGAGGTGTGGAATTTTCATTCCTCTCCATTGTTTAGAGCTTTTATGCTCAAATCGAGTTACAAATAGAAGACAAATATCAGGGTGGAAAATGGACGATGTAACAGAGCACACTGCATCTAATCCTGATGAATTTTTAAGCAGATCCCCTGACTTTACTCTTGGTGCGGAAAACTCAGAAGATGATCAGACCGAAACGCAAAGTTCTGCCGGATTTGTCGAGAGCTCGGGAGAAACGCTCGACGATGGAGACGCTCCTCAAGTGAATAACGTAGCGACAAACGACGAAGATGCAAGGTTAGGTGAAAAAAATTCGTTGCCTCAAGATGAAGGAGGTGACCGTTTAGAATCAACCGAACAGGGCGAAACATCAACTGAAGATGGTGAAATAGGCAGTCAAGGCGAGGAAAAACATGTGAACATTACACTGCCAAGACCTGTTGGAGTGGAACATGACTCGGATACGACACAGGAGAACTTTCAGGTATCAGGACACGAAAACAGCACTCCTGAGATTTCTGAAGACTCTAAGACCGAGGACTCTAAGAGCGCCGATTTGCCAACAGAAAACGATTTAAGTGCGGTTCATTCGAACATCAGTGAAACAACGAATGACTCAACTTCAGAACTCCATCCGAACGCATCCGAACACCAGAGTTCTGAGTTGACAGAGAGTTCCCAGAGTGAGGCTCAAACTGGAGATAAAATACAAACTCAAGAGGAACAGGCTTTGGAGTCGATATATCATATTAAGTGGATAAAATGGAAAGGTATTAACACGCCCATAATCACACAGAATGAAAATGGCCCCTGTCCTCTTCTAGCAATTGTTAATGTGCTTCTTCTGCAGAGAAGAATCACTCTTCCACCACAGCAAGAGTTTGTGACATCAGGGCAGCTCATGGAGTATATTGGAGACTGCATCTTAGAAGAAGCACCCAAGGTTTGAAGATGAATTTGCAATTATTATCAACAATAAGTGTGGTTAATAGTATAAGGAAGTTGACAAGAAAATTTCATTGTCATTCTGAGCTATACACAGCCACAAATTTGTAGATTTACAGTACTGACCTCAAATGACAGAATATCAAGAGTAGTTGCAGTTGCTGCATTCTGAACACACATCTCAGAGTGACATAGGATTCTAAAGAGTGAACTAAGATTGTGATTTGTTAACCTAACCCTTTGAAAAGTGTCAACTAGGGACACTGCTGTTAAAATGCTAAAAACCTCTTTGAATAACTCTTTCTCTCCCAAGATCTCACTAGTTATTCTATTCATTGTGTGCCATACAATTATTACACTTTTTGTGTGGAGAATTTGGTATTGGATTAGCCAATAATTAAACCCCCTTTTCGACAGTTATATGTATTCTCATTACTTGTCTGATTGATATTGTATTTGTTGATATTGTTGGGAAAAATTCTGTCTTGCTCACTCGTAGGAGTTACAGGGTTAGGAAAACAAATTTTTAAGATAATGTTCAAGCTATACATTGTCTCCTAAAATCCTAATGTGCCTTTGAATCCTCAACAGCGCTTACCCGAAGGAGCCCAGCTAAACTATGAACAAAACATGCATGATGCCATTGCAATCATGAACAAATTACAGACAGGACTAGATGTAAATGTAAAGTTCACTGGGTAAGTGTAGCAGATCAGGAATATTTTGAGACTGTCACTCTCAAGATCTGAGAGATAAAAGAGTAAATAAGGAGAGGGTCAACTATATTTGATCTTCAAAACATTGATAAAAAAAATTTGTCAAGGTCAGACTTTGCTCTGTGTGTAACTTTTATTGCAAAATTATCATCCAGTTGTGCTTGCTGATCTCTAGCTGTAAGTTTGAATATTTTTTCTTTCCTCATTTTTTTCCATTTCTTTATTTTTGGCTGTGATGACTGCCTGTAAATGTTAGTGATTCTTGCAATTAAGACAAATTTATGTTTAAGTCTAAAAAATATGAATATTACTTTAAATTTTTAGGGTTAAAGACTTTGAGTTCACTCCAGAATGTATTGTATTTGATCTTCTATCAATTGGACTGTACCATGGATGGCTTATCGATCCACAGAATACTGAGATTGCCTCTGCAGTCAGTGGACTCAGTTACAATCAGCTGGTGGAGAAAATCATTGCCAGTAAACAGGATGGTGCAGAAAGTCAGCTGGTCTCTGAAGGTATGTAAGTCAAATTTTGACCTGAGCAGATCAAGGGGGAACCTATGAAGAATAACTGGTGCTATATTCACCCGGTATCTCCCTAGAATTCACTATGAGACTACTGTTATTGTAGTCACTTCTCACCTATCTTGTTAACCCTTTCAGTCCCTAGATCTCATTAGTAATTCTTATGTGGTGACTACAGAGAATTTGGTATTGGATCAACTACATGTAACAATTGCCTATAATTTATATTTTTTTTAGTTTATTCTCATTTCTCATCTGGTGATATTGTATTGATTTTGTAAGGAGAAATTCTGTCCTGGTCACTCATGGGAGGTTAAACATTCCAAGATGTATTACTTGTTTCATTGCTTTCCTTTATACCCTTGAGGGGTGGGAAGGGGGAGGGGGGGCAGCTTACAAACCTCTCAGTACTCCCAGTCAAGCTATATGTTTGTCC